TAGGATCCTCCTGCATCAGCCTTCTGAGTCACTGTGATTGCAGGTATGCACCACCATGCCTAGTTCCCTGAATATGTATTTCTTATTGACTGGTTTTCTTACGTGTATTATCTTTGGACTTGGGCAAAATATGTCTGTCTCATTTTTTCAAATACAAAGAAATTTAAGTAGAAAATGTATATGGTCATATAAGTGTCATAATCCCCCCAGTCTCCATTGGTTTGTATGTAAGCACTAGATAAAATATAATATTAGTTTGTACTTTACTCGTCCATTATGATATATTCAAATCAAGTCAAACAATATTTGTTGGCCACTTACAATGATCTTTTCCTTTATTTAAACTTGATGTTAGTCTCTAGGTAAACTATACTAAATAGAAATGTATAACAAGGCTCAAATTTCAATAGAATATAATAGTAATCTAAGGTCAAATTCTACCTAAAGAATTTTTAATTCCATAAACATTGGTGATATAACTATTCTATGGCAGGCATTATGTATTAGGTACAGCTCTGAAGAATCAATGATTAAAAACAACCAAAAAAAAAAAAAAGAGAGAGAGAGAGAGAGAGAGAGACACACTGCTGCTTCAAGGGGCTCACCTTGTAAACTATGAGACATGTGGAAGCAAATGTAATTTGCTTAATTGTCTTAGTCCATTTCAGCTGTTATAGCAAAGTACCATAGATTGAATGACTTATAGACAACAGAGATTTATCTCTTCCAGTTCTGGACGCTGGAAGTCTGATATCAGAGTGCCAATATGGTCAAGTTCTGGTGATAACCCTCTTCTAGATTTCAGATTGTTGTTTTATTATAATATTCTTACAAGTTGGGGAAAGGGCAAGAGATCCTCTAAGGTCTCTTTTATTAGCACACTAATCCCATTTATCAGGGCTCTACCTTGCCACAGTCTGGCTGGGCACAATTCACTGAGCCACTTGTCAAGCACAAAGGAACTTTATTTTTAGAACACACGCTGCACCACAGGAGCTCTTCAGGAACTCCCTCAGAGCCCAACTGCCACCACCGGCTTCCCACAAGCCTCTCAACCCCCCACTCCTCCTGCTCTTGAGGCCAATTGGCTGGGTCGCGTGGGCGGAGCCAAAAGAGTCCCCCAATGAGAAGCTCCGTGGTCTGAAAGGGCTGGGAAACAGCCCAATGAGCATCACCGCAGAGGAGCCAATCAGCTGGCAGCTGGAAGTTTGCTGGGGCTGCTGTGAGCCAATCATCAGCTGGCAGCTGGAAGTTTGCTGGGGCCCCTTGGCTGTGGCTCTCAACACTACCTCATGATCTAACATCTCCCGAAGGTCCCACCTTCTAATACAATCATATTGTAGGTTTTACAAATTTGGGGGGAGTACATTCAGTCAATTATATAACTCAGTGTGGTAAGAGCAGTTGAAGTGACTAAGAAGTCTTCTCAAAAGAAGTGATATTCTATCTGAGTCTTGAAGGACAAGGAGAGATTCTGAGAAGCATACAAGTGTTGGGAAGACCTTCCAGGCAGAAGCAACAAGAAGTTCAAAGACACTGAGGGATGAGTATTGGTGATGGTCACTGGAGAGATCAGGTGTCTAGATGGTGGGATTAGGTCATATTGAGAACTTGAACATCGTGATCAAGAGTTTAGACTTTTAGGTTGTCAAGTTTAGACTTTTTTAGGTTGTCAAGAAGCTTCGAGAAGTAGGCATGGTGTTGGTAAGTAGTTAGTAAATTTCAGTTGTCTTTGCTCTGGGGTCATTGCAAAACCAAAAGTGATCCCACTGTCTCTGCCGAAAAAGCAATGTGCCTATTGAAAATCTGTTTACAAAACCCTTAGAATATAACCTTTCGAGGCATAGTGGCATATGCCTATAATCCCAGCACTTGAGAGGCTAAGTCAGGAAGATCACAAGTTTGAAGCCAGCCTGAACAACTTCCTAGGACCCTGTCTCAGAATTAAAAAAAAAAAAAAGCCTACTATACTTCAGGAAGAATCCTTTTCTTCTATTATAATTCTGGAGAGTCAATATGGTTTGATATTACAGGAGTACTTGGGTCTCAAATCCAGTTTATAGAGTTCAGTTATTAAGCTACTCTCTGCTCTGTTTTAAGCGTGTCTCCCCCACATTCACCAGTTGGAAGCTCACTTTCTTAATGCAGTAGATCTGGGAGGAAGGGCCAAGTGGGAGATGCTTGGTCATGGGTGGAGCCCTCATGAATGCATTAATGCTTTTTGTTGAAGGAACAAATTTAACTATCACAGGTTACTTTTTACCATAAGTGCTGAGAAACAAGAGCAAAGGGATGACCTAAAGGTGGAATATATAATCAAAAGGGAAGCAAAGCATAAAAATCTTTCTTGGCTTGACCATATAGAATGAAGAAGCATGTTTGGCAGAGAATGCTGAGTGTGGCCAAGTGACCATTGTTGAAGATATCAGTACAACTGCAAGGGAGCCAGGTGCTATTCATCAGACAATGGAACAAGGCCCTGGAGGTATTTTGGAGATCTTCAATGCTGCCTTTCCTATCACAGACTCAGATCACCAGGAGGAAGAGTGGCTTAGGGGTACTAGTCCAAGACTCCATACCCAGGGCCACCTCAGGACTCTGCTCCCTGCATTCTGGTGCAGTGTGGGGAGCTCAAGTGGCCCCAAGCGCAGCTTGTGCCTCCTCCCCAGAGGATCAAGCAGTAAGTCTTGGTGGAGCCCACAGGGGGCATATTCTGCAGATGTTTAGGGTGTAAGAGCCATGGAGATATAGTGGCACCACCCAGATTTTGAAGGATGCTCCATCTAGTTGCTTGGGAGTCTAGACAGAAATCTCTTCCAAGAGCAGCATTCCCACAGAATCTTCACTAAAATGCCTCATAGAGCCATGGGAGTAGGGCCACCCTTGGGATTCCAGAATTGCAGAACCACCACCAATGTGCAACACATGCCTGGAAAAGCTGCAGGCACCAGTTGCAACTCCAACCCAAGGAAAACAAGCACAGACTGAGCCTAGCAAAGCCCAGGAGTTGGGGCTGTCCAACATTTGGGGGGCTCAACCCCCAATGTGTCCAGAAGGCTGCATGGAATGATGATTCTCCAGCTTTAAACCTTAATGTTTGCTTTCTTGGTTTTCAGATTTGCTTGGGATGGTTACTCCTATCTTTTGGTCAATTTTTACCTCTTGGAATGGAAATATGTACCCTATGCCTACCCCACCACGGTGTGTCCTGATTAGCCCTCTTTGATTTTGTGATGCTTGCGTTTAGATGTGAAGAATGCAGGCCAGAGAAGGTTGAAAAGGAGTCCGCTGCCCTAACCCACCCACTGATAATAAAGAGGAGAGCAGAGAGGCTGTGAGGCCAGTCAATGCTCTCAAGAAAGAATGGTCAACCCACTTAGCATGGCCTCTTCCCTTGATGATTCAGGCTTCTGGAATTGGCTCACACTCTGGCCTTTTGAGGTAAAAACAGCTGTCATGTATGCAGACGTGTACCCCTTTAACTTACTTACTTACTTACTTATGTCTATATGTATTTATTTAGCAGTACTGGAGATTCCAGGAGTGCTCTGCCACTGAGATACATCCCCAGCCCTTTTATTTTGAGACAGGATCTTGCTAAGTGCGAAGTTGCTCAAGCTGACCTTGAATTTGTGATCCTCCGACCTGGGCTTCCCTAGTAGCTGGGATTACAGGTGTGTACCACTGTGCTGGGTTCCCTTTAACATTTTTAAACAAAACTGGTGATTGCAAAGAACAAAACAGGGATTTCTCTATAGCTACAGAATCTGAGGGCCAAATCTATGCAATCAGAAACACTGACACCTAGTGTTGACACTGAAAAAGGACAGATGGTGAGAGGTATTTGAGAATGCCATGGGTTTTCTTAACTTTAAGCCCCTATACCAATGCGGAGGGGGGCGGGGAGACAATTCCAGCCATTTCCAGGCCTTCCCTCACCTCCCCAGGGTCTCATAGGACCAGGATATGAGAGATGAGCCAGCCTTTCCTCTCCTGTTCCTCCTAGTCACTGTTGCTCCCTGGACCCAGAGCTCTTGGCTTCTGTTCTGTGCATTTTAAGAGGTTTACTTCTCATCTCTCTTATTCTCTTTATTCCACCTGCAATTTGAAATCTGCCCACTGTCAAAAAAAAAAAAAAGAAAAGAAAAAGAAAAAGAAAAATCATTCAGGTGCCTCTGGGTGTAGAAGCACCTTTTTGCCTGTAATGTCCCAATGGCTACATTTACAAATGCTTTTTTTAATGAATAAGCAAAATGAAAACATTTAGACCAGAAACTAATTCTGGTTATGAACCTGAAATGTCCCCCCACCCCCTCTCCTTCTCCCTCTCCTGTCAAAAAAAAAAATTGAAAAATATCCATTAGTGCAGTGTTGTTATAATAGTACATTCTTCTACCCTTTGAAACAAATTTTAAAATAAGAAGCATAGGAAATTTTTGAAAATTTTTGTTTAAATATATCATTTCTGCTGGGCATGATGGCACATACCTGTAATTCCAGTGGCTTGGAAGGCTGAGGCAGGAACACTGCTAGTTTGAGGCCAGCCTCAGTAATTTAGCGACATTCTAAGCAATTTAATGAGAGCTTGTTTCAAAATAAAAAATAAAAAGGGCTGGGGATGTAGTTCAGTGGTTAAGTACCCCAAGGTTCAATCCCTGATACCAAAATCAACCAACCAACCAATCAATCAATTAATCATTTCTTTTAGCAATCAGGGAAACTCTGGTGTTCATGAATGAGATTATCGTATGTATTTGTTGCCTACTGTAGTCCATTGCTACTATAAGAAACTATAAATATTTCCCAAGTGGGGAGCTCATTTTTTTTAGAGAGAGAGAGATAATTTTTTAATATTTATTTTTCAGTTTTCGGTGGACACAACATCTTTATTTTATTTTATGTGGTGCTGAGAATCGAACCCAGCGCCCCATGCATGCCAGGCGAGCGCATTACCACTTGAGCCACATCCCCAGCCCAAGTGGGGAGCTCTTAAAAGGAAGAACATTACATGATGAGTAGAATCAAATCATCCCTTGCTGAGCTCGTGATAAATTTGCTTTTTCCTATCAAAAGCTGGGAGGAAAGGGAGAACAAATGAGCTGTGTTTTACAAAAATGGAATTAATACTAGAAGTTACTTGCGATCAATGGCTATGAAAATCTAATTTATTCAGTGGCTCTCTTCTATTTAAAAAGTGCATTGCCTGTGTATTGAGCTCAATGATCTAGGCCCTCGGAAATTAAAGAGTGAACTGTGTCTAATGAGTTTATGGTTTGTTGAGTTTGCTGTAACCTCATTAACAATTTAGTACATCAAACTTATTAGGTATTTTAATTTCAGAGTCCTGGAGTTTTAAGGAGAGTAATGAAATTCCAGAATGTCCCTTTACTCATTAACCACTGATGTTTAAACAAACTAGTCTCTCACATTAAAACTACAAGGACACCTTCATTTGACTCCACTTTCTCTAGTTACTGCCTTCTCTCTTTCCCTTCACAGATAAATTACTCAAGAGCTTGCTGTATTTTCTTTCTTTATCCCTTCTCATCTGACTTTCCTCCCACCTAGCAAAACAATTCTAATGTTCCATTGACCCCTTTCAGGCTTCATTTTGTCCAATTCATCTCTTCTTGAAATGCTCTTATTTCCATTCTGTCCTGAGTTCCCCGAATGATAGGGTACACGTGCTGGGTACACGAGGTTAAGGGAACAATTCTATAAAATGGACCCACTGTGCTGACCCCCACGTGCTTTTTTCAGCAAGCAATTTACCTGCAGCCCTGCCCAGCTTAAGTGGACAGAATAAGTCACATTCCTCAGCAAACTACCTGCAGGAAAAATGCAGGCCCCAAATAATGTTGATAAGAGGACCCCAAGTTACCCTGAAGGGGGAAACGTTTGTGACCCTTTTCACAGACCATATCCAGAAACTCAAAATTCAGAGATAAGGATAATTCCTCCTAATCATAAAATCTATAATAATTTATTGTTAAAAATTCAATTAGAACTGGTCAGCATAGGCCAAAGTGTCCTAGAGTTGTCATGGCAGTGGGGCCTTGAAAGACTGATGACACCCTGCTGTAAGAGGTGGATCTAGGTAGGACTCTCTGGAAGCTTCTCTGGGATTGCCAATAAAACTGGAGTGCAGGAGAAACACACCCCTCTCCTCTCCAAGAGGGCCCACACTCTCCTCTGAGGGTGTCCCCTTTCCCTTTTCCAATCCCTTCAATAAATTTATGACTGTTACTCTGACAGGTTTGAAATCTCTCTGACTTAATTGCAAGAATTGGGGTTTGAAGGTGGGAGGGTGTCTTCATGCTGCCTCAGTTTTCTATAATGACTCAGCCCTGTAACACTACCTCCTAGGTCTCTCGTAGATTCTATATATGGCTGTTACATATTAGAATCTCTCAAAGCTCAAGTCCTAGGGCTTTTTCTTTTCATTTTCTGAACCTTACTGAGCTAATCTCATCCATGTCTATGTCAACCACTCCAGTTTATATTTCCTTCTAAGACTTTGCCTCTGAGTTTCAGAACTGCGTAGCCATTGCATTCTATCCATTGCTGCTTGGAGATCTCAAGTTCAACATGTTGCAAATGGGTGGAATCATGATCTTCTCTTCTCCACACCTGTGTCTGATATCTCAGTGAATGGCACTGTGATCCATAGGCTACATAATCCAAAGACCTCGGATTAATTTTGAACCTCCCTTTCCTTTAGTTCTCCCCACACACCCCACCACCACCACAGTATGCAGTACATTACCAATCCTTCTAAATATCTCTGCATCTGTGCTAGTGGTGCCCTAATCTATGCTAATGTGTTTTTCTACCCGGACTACCTGCAGTAGCCACCTAATTGGCTTTGTACATTCTTCTTTTTTAGCTCAGTCTGTTTTCATCACTGTAGCCAGAATAATCTTAAAAATTTCTGGTCCAATAAAGACATTTAGGTGCTTAAAACATTTCTATCACTTAGCATTGCTTGGAGCAGAAAGATCACAATCTGTCTCTTGGTTCCACTTCCCATCAGGCTTCCCCCTTATTCCCTCTTCTCCTGGCATACTAACTTATTTTCAGTTAATGTGCAATGTTCCTTTTTAGCCACAGTTCTTTCTGTACAGCTAGCCACTGTGAGAAACTCTTCTCCCTCTTTCTATCTCCGGTTGCCTAGGCAACACCTAATGGATGGTCACTTTCTCACAGAAGCCTTCCCTGACCTGGAGACTGAATCACATTCTCCTTTTCTTCACAGAAATTAGCATCATTTATATTTACACATGTTATGGTCTAAGGATTTGATAAAAGTTTGTCTTACTCAATAATCGGGTTGACCATTGAAGGCAGGAAATGTATTTATCCTTCTTAACCATCTGATCCTCAAAGCCTTGTGTAATGCCTGGCACATAGTAGGCATTCAGTAAATTTTTTGACTTAATGAGTAAAGAAAATAAACACATGAAGGTCATAGTGAGTTGCCCAAGGTCAGGATGGCAAGGCTGAAACCATAGCCAAATATTCTAAGTTCCGGTCCAGCTCACCAGCCTTCTCAACAATGAGTTTATCCAAAATTTTATTCTGAATCATTGGAACCAAAGTAACTTTACAACTCATCAATTTCTCAAGTCCAATTTACAAGTCCAATTTCTCAACCCTTCTATTTTCTACCAATGGGATTTATTCAGTAAGGTGATGCTGTAGGTATAGTCATTTTTTCTTTTTCCATGAAGTACATGCTATATTTGTTCCATTTTAAAGGGGTATTATGATATGCCACTATTTCAAACTTGTAAAGCTTCTCAGGATTCTAAGAAGAAATACAAGGTTTTTGTCAAAAAGAACAATTTTGTCTCTTGCAATAGAATTTCCTGTTCAAAAAGTGCTATTAATTTGAAAACTATATCTCCAAAAGAACATTCTATTAGGTGGGATCATCATCATCATATTCCCAGCCGCTATGTATATATCTTCTCTTAAATGTGAAAAGGGAGAAAGCCACTTTGCTGTGTAGAAAAGTGCCTCGTGTGTTTTATAAAATGTTCAGTAGTTAAAGGAGAGGCTGCTGCATTTGTAAGATAAATAGGCTATCCCTGAAGAAGCTTGCAGATCTGATTCTCAAGGGTCTTTGTGCCATGGATGAAAATGGGATCATTACTTTTGATCCTCTGCACACGTCACTGACTCCCACCTCCAGCTGATCCACGGGTTATAAGTACCTATGAATCGTCTTGCAGATTGTAGGCAAGATTACCTACAAGGGCCAGCCAAAGCCAAGCTCCTGGTAAGCTTTATTGCCCTTTGTATTTCTGTTTCCATTTCACATATTGGGGTGGAAAGACAATCTGTATTCATAGGTATGAGATCCATTTCTCTGTCTCAGATGTGTATGTTGGAGGCATTTCTCAGTATAGGGTATCTGAAGTAATTTTTTCTTTTTTAAGGCTGCTATCTTAAGACATAAGTAATTTAAGGTTTGGCTGTAAAACTTGCTTTCTTTGGAGAAAGCAAAGTGTGTATTTATTCAAAGAAGAAAAAGGCATACTTGGACTTTCTAGGTTGTATTCATAATTGCTTTGCTCATCATTGTATAATGTTCTCCTTATCATGGACTCTTTTAAGTGAATCACCTGGATTTGGAGGGCCTCATTTGAAAGTGAATATGGAAAAGATGGTTGAAAAATTTAGGTGAACCAGTAGTCATTTCTCCTTCCTTTTCTACCTTTATAGATTACCCGCCCCCCATCTCTCCTTTTACTCAGCTTCATTGCATCATGACCAAAGCACCTCTCTTGCTGCTGTGTGTTGCCCTGGTGCTAACTGGGCATGTGCATGGAGCCACACTGAGAAATGAAGACAAGTGGAAGCCACTCAGCAACTCCAGAAATCGTGATCTGGTAAGAACACATCTGGAACATGCTGAACATAAGGTGGAACTGGCACCTCTCTGAAATTATGCACACTGTGTCCTGTATTGTAGAGCAGAGTTGAGAAGAGGCTACCAGGAGTTGAGGATTTCCACAAGGACAGGTCCAATGTTTTGCTAGTTGAGTGGTGGGCCTTCTATTGTTTCTATGGCCAGTTCACATTTATTTCTGTAAGGAGAAACATTTATATTTAGAAATGATCTTATGCATACTCAGCACATGACATTTGTAAATGTCTTATATACACATTGACTTTATAGCCTTGATTCCTAATACATACACAAAATAATGTAATTGTGGTATGTGCTTGTAATGCCAGTTACTTGGGAGGCTGAAGCAGGAGGATCACAAGTTTGAAGCCAGCCTTAGCAGCAACATAGTAAGACGCTTTCTTTTTTTTTTTTATTTATTTTTTAGTTGTAGATGGACAGCATGCCTTTATTTCACTTATTTATTTTTATGTGGTGCTGAGGATCGAACCCAGTGTCTCACATATGCGAAGCAATCGCGCTACCACTTGAGCCACATCCCCAGCGCAGTAAGATGCTTTCTTAAAAAATAAAAAGGGGCTGGGTTATACACCTGTAATTCCAGTGACTGAGGCTGGAGGATTAAAAGTTTGAGGCCAGCCTCAACAACTTAGCAAGGCCCTAAGCAACTTAGTGAAATCCTGTCTCAAAAATAAAAAAGAAAAAAGGGTTGGGGGGTATGGCTCAGTGGTTAAGCACTCCTGGATTCAATCCCCAGTACCTGAATAAATAAGTAAATAGTATAGCAGGGAATTGGTTTTTTTGCTCAACATAAATTGTACTGATGATAACATAGACAATCATACAACCAACATTTGCAAAACTTAATCACAAAAATTGGAAAGTGACCCTGCATAGTTATCAACTTACTAAGCATGTTTTCAACATATGGTTATATAGAAAATAGAATTCAGAAGACCAGTAAAAATTCTAAAGCATGCCAAATACAAAACATGTTGATATGACTATTTCAAATATATTTTTTCTAAAGAAAATGATGTGAAATGTAGATTAGAATAATTAAACCAGTAGTACTTTGCCCAGTTTCTATGTGTTTGTTTCCTAAACAGAATCTGAAAAACACTTAAAAAGAAACTACTGCCAAGGGCAGCAAGTGGCTCTCTCCTTCAGCAGAGGAGACACTGAGCTAATAAATGTGGAGTTCAGATTCATTTATGACCTCAATACTCAGACAGCTCACAATGAATCCTGCCTGTGGTGTTATTATGATTGACATTCCTCTCTTGGAATTTTTCATCAACAGTGGTGAATGATCTTGTTTAGGGTTGAAATGTAAGAAAGATGGTAGGAGGAGAGGAGGAGGAGACAAATTGAAGCTTGAACTTCTCTTTCTGGATTTTCAACCTCCTGCTTCTTAGATTAGTCTTAAAGTCAATTCAGGGAGAGAAAAGGAGAGGAAAAAAATCATATTTGAGTTGTGATGTTTCATTTACATATGGCAATGAATATTTTCTTTCTCTCTAGTTTTTCAGAAGCCTTCAGGCATATTTTAAGGGCAGAGGTCTTGATCTTGGGAGGTTTCCAAATACTTTCTCCATGAACGAGAATCCCAGACCTCTCTCTTTCCAGCCAGAACTGATAGCTGCTGCGTTTGCAGACTATGAAGAACAGAAAAATTCCTTTCCCAATTACCTCAAAGGCTGAAAGTTTCCTCTGAGCTCAGGTAAAAGTTGTTGCTTTATTCCCAAGATCTAACCAAACATTCAAATCAGCCATAAGCAGAGATTTATATTTTTTTGAAAAGTGACTTATTTCCTCAGAGAAAAAAGTGCTTAGTTCTGATAATACTCATCACGATTAAATATTTGAGTTTGGTTTGAATATTTTATAGTATGGCTTTTAAAAATATTAGTTACAAATTTAAGCATATATTTCTAGGGATACATATATTAAAATATTGAATTGTTACTCTTAATAGAATGATTAAATTAATTAAATATCACATACTCTTACCTACAGCTTCTTTCAGACCATGTCATATAGCTAAGTTATGTAGAAAATCATACATAAAGAAATATATCAAATTGAGCAGTTGGGTTAAATAAAAAATAAAAGTTAAAAGAATGGTTCTTTTGAAGGGGAAATCAAACTCATAGAACTCGAATTTCCTAATTTAGAGAAAAACAAGGTAAAATATTAGTAAAGATGGCATTTATGGGGTTGTGAATATAGTTCAGTGGTAGATGTTTGCCTAGCATGTATGAGGCCCTAGGTTCAAGTCCCAGCACTGCCAAAAAAAATCATGTTTAAGACTTGAATTTAGTATTCTTATTACTTTAGCCTTCTATATGTACCATTTAAAAAGAAGCAGGTTATGGTACATTTCAAGAAAATACATTATGGTTCTAGCATATTAGCATCTTGTTTGGCTGAATAATAAACAGAATGGAATCATAATTAAAATCTTTTCCCATTCTTCTACATATTGGTGAAATTGTGAGGAAGCATAACCACCATTATATTTCATTGTATTTTTGAGAGGGTTTTCACTATTAGTTCTCTAAAATGAGATGATTAAAAGAAATAATGATCCTTATTTTTTAAAAAAGATGCAATTTGTGATGTGAAATATGAACTTGAATACTATCCTAAGATGAAAAAATAAAATGGAATAAACAGAAAGATACTAATAAAGTTTTTCCTTGACTATTTTTCATAAACAGACTGTAGGGTATCAGAAGCTAAAACAGAATAATCATTAATACCATAGTTCCTATTTTGGTATGAGGTATATAAATTGCTTGTAAGCCTCAGTTTCTTCATTTGTAATTGCAGATACTAATCTCTACCTCACAGAAAGTATCACAGAAGTACTAAATAGATACTTTACTGTAAGCATGGATTGAGGTAATATAGGAATTATTCAAAGTTGTGAAAGAAGCTGAGCTTCTGATTTGGAGTAATTTCATAATTATGAGCTCTATATTTCTAATATCTCTGATATAAAAATGAGAACAAAAAGTTTTCATTGAATTATGTTGAGTTGGGTGTCTTTGTCTTAATTTTCTATTTCATTATAACATTTCCTTGTTCTTTCAGGAGTCAAGGCCATTTTAAAACCACAGAAGCAGCTTCTCTTTAGAACTATTCCACCATGGTCATGGCTAAACTTTTGCGTGTTATTTCTCCTTCATGCTTATTTGTCAATTTGTAATGATTTTATTCTACATGCCCATATTTATATATAAATATTTGGACCTTTGTGATGTATGTGACTTATGCGCATATTTTGGAGTGTTTTTTCCATTCTATTATCATATTGATGTAGGGCACTGCATGTATTTATAGGACTTACAAAACATGAAAAAAAGACATCATAGGTGAAAAGAGATAATAATCTTCCAAATTAGATATTTTCCTTAAAAACTCACAGTCTTAGTTTCATATCAAATGAGAGTACGTCGAAATGGAAGCAAGCAGATATGGGATTCTAGGAGGTACCAAGGTCTCTGGAAGATGCTCTCATGCTAATATATTTGGAGACTGACATTGTGCTAAATTAAATATTCTAGCTACACTCAGTCTTCAGTCTATGGAACACAACCTCCTCAAGAAGAGAGAGGAGAAACAGGAGGATTTCTATTCTTTTCCAACCAACCTCCTCTCCTCATCATAGTGTGTTCTAAATTATTCTAATTCCCATATGCTCATTTGGAATGACTACCTGTGCTATATCATTATGGATAGTTACATCATTTTCTCTGTGATTCCTGCAAAAGAAACACTGTACTAGAATATGAACATCAATGTCCTAACAATGTTAATCTGTATGTTCCAAAATAGTTTTAGTGGGTTTTTGTGGATTGTCAATACTGAATATCAAGAATAAAATGTTTATGTAAAAATAAATTCTGCCTAGTTTAATATATTTTATTGTAGTTAGTTGTAAATGTGTCTATTTTCCCTGGAGGATTGTGAGGTCTTGGTGAGAAAAATATCATGTCTAATCCCCCCCTTTTTTTTTTTTTTTGGTACCAAGGATTGAACTCAGGGTCACTCAACCACTGAGCCATATCCCCAGCCCTATTTTGTATTTTATTTAGAGAAAGGGTCTCACTGAGTTGCTTGGCGCCTCACTTTTTGCAGAGGCTGGCTTTTGAACTCACAATCCTCCTTTTTTAGCCTCCAGAGCCACTGAGAAAATAAGCATACACAACTCCTCCTGGCTCCATTTTTTTTCTCCTGAGGCTAGCACAATGGCTAGCATGTAGCAAGTGTTCAATAAACACTTGTTAAACTGAAGTAATTGTGCCCTATTCTACTATCCTTCACACTATAATGGAAGCTGCTTTTAGTTGACAAAATTATTCTTTCCCATTAAAATATAAGTAATTATTGATAAGCATAGCTTTTATAAAGAAGAGAGTGTTTCACTGCTATTGAGTTCCTTTCCAAGTACCAGTGGTTTTCCTTTTCTCACTCCTACTCTACCACTGGGTGTCAAGACCACCACAAAGGGAGTGCTTATTAGCTTCAGGACCTTTGAAAAGGAAAGACACTCACATAGGATTTAGGTAAGAGCTTGCAAAGTCTCAGGGCAGAATTTTGCATCCTTCAGCTGTAAAATTCATCACAATTAGTAGCTGTTGATAGCAGCCCTTACTCCACATTGCCTTGAGGTCCATAATGATGATGCTATTGATACCTCGGGTTACTGGTGACAAGTTCTGCTCCCTCTGTTATGTTGAAGTATAACATTAGAGAAGCCCGCCGAAGCAAGCATACAAAGCAGGGTTCATTTAAAAAGGGGGGTACCAGACTTCTCCCAGGAGGGAGAAGGGGGCCATAGTTGGTATCCTGGTATCCTAAGAAGCGAGGCGTTCTGCCTTTTTTTAATATGTCCTAGGCTTCCTTTGTTCTCCTGCTCACTTCCCCTATCTCTCTCCTTCCTTCCTACATGACTAGGCCCAGGAGATGCTCAGTGGGATGGCCAAAAGGTAAGAAGCAGATGGATGGGAGACGACCAGCCAGGGACACATTAACAACTTTATAACTCCCTGTAAGAGGTGGGGGACAATTCCTGGGACAGGTTACCTTAGCAACAGGTTGGAGCAGGGGCAGGTTCTTGATAGGGTGGAGGAAGGGCTCTGAAGGAATTAACATTTCAATCCTTCAGGGGACAGTCTCCAACTTCCCGAGCTCACTCAAATTGGCCTCCTTGATCTGACCTGACTCAATTTACCTATCTATACTGACTGCCTGTCTAATTCTGGCTTCACTGTTGGCATTTGGAGAAGGCAAAATCTTCACTTTGTGTCAATTCTGGTCTTCACACCACCCCTGGGAAACAGAAAAATTGTTAGGAAAATAGAAGAACTGTCATCTTTCCTTGAAGAGAAATAAATGTTCTGCAAATGTTCAAGGGGTCTGTGGTACTCCTCTACTTAGGACCTTGGCAGCCTCCCACCACTGACCCTGCTCTTTTTCAGTGAGGACCCCATTCTCAGGACATAGCCTGTTGTTCTCTGTCTCAGATCTAGTTTGGTCAAGAACTGTTGAGAGTGTGTGGTTGTATTGTATTTGTAAGCTACACAATAGTTTTCTACATTTTCATCAATCCAGGCAGTCACATGAAACTCCGGTCTGAGACAATTGGCTTTATTTCTCATGATGTGACAGGCGGCATGAATTTTATATTCATGTGGGTTCTCCTCATCCCCCAGGGAAGGGAGGGCATGCAAATGTGGGTTCAGGGGCATGCTTGGCACAAGTGGGTTTGTGCCAAAGGTTTCTCCAAACTAGGAAATTCCTACTCTTATAATGGGGCTGCTTGCAAAAATGCTCAAACTTTGCCCTGGAGAGAAACATTATCTTTATTATACTGATCATAAAACAAAAAACTCTATATGTCCGAGAAAGAAGCACTATCTCTACTTTTGAGCATGTTTGCTCTATAAAGAGAAACTTACCACAAGCTTTTGCAGAAAAGTGAAAGTTCATGGAAAAATGGCCTCCCCAAAAGTGTCACAGCTCTTCCTGATTCCTCCTCTTGACAAGAAAAATGAATGGAGAAATCTCTTCTCTCTGTACTCTCTTAATTCTCTCGTCATGGTATAAATTCAATGTTCTGCTTCCTTCAGACTTCCCATTTTGATTCTCAAAAATCAGCCTGAAGAACCAAAATGTTTCTTCTTGCTTTTTTCATTATTGCTGTAACAATTCTGCTTCATCACAAGGTAATGTGGATGCCGCTGACTCACCAGGGGACAAATCACTACCAGGAAGTGGGGAAAAGAAAAACAGAAAGATTAAAAGTTCAAGTTACTCAAGTGTGTTCTGACTTCTAAAGGAACTTTCACGTCATCAAGATTCTCCACCCACCCCTTGTGCATTGCTTCCTTCTTCTTTAATGGAAATCTGTACCTTCAGATTTGTTATTCCCAAATTCTAGGTATCCAACAATAAAACAAGCTAGTCTAAACCATCTGGGTCTTAGAGTGTTTTTACCAATTTACCATCCCCTCTTGCTTTGATTCTTTTCTTTTTTCCTAGGAGAGTTAGAACTGGAGACTCTTGACTTCTTAGATGCCGATCCCAACTGCCGGGAAAACTTCAGGGGAAAATTCCTACAAATGATTTCTGTGGATTACCTTGACATATCCCACTTGTTCACCTTTCATATTTTATACCCTGATAGTACCATG